CTTGAGTTGAGAGTGGCTGAAATGGTCTGGAGAAATCAATGTATAGTGTTTTGTTTTTGGTTATGGGGGATGATAGAAATGGAGTTACAGTCGTGTAACAGGGACAAGGATGAGTTGTATTTGATGTAAGGAAGCTTTAAGGACTAAAAGGCCAAAGAACGCACGGGGGGAAAATGAGTTTGGAGTTCAAGGTCAGAAACTGTGCAACAATGGGGTTTTTGGGCAATTTCTGATTTGAGAGAGTTTGGGAGTGTTTCAGGGTGTTTAAGCTCGTGTTCTAGCTCACAAATAGTGACTCTATTTATAAGTAACAAGTTTGGAGACTTGTTGTTGATCAGAATTCAAAATCACAAGTTTAATAACATGTGATTTTTGAGAAATCCAAGTTTCAAAGTCTTGTGTACTTGTTAAGATAGAATGATTATGCTTTAAACACACTTGCTTCTGACTTTGTAGATGGAGTGTGATCAGAGGGAACAAGTTAGAGGCTCAAGAATCGACTTTGTGCAAAAAGCTTGCTTTTCAAGAATGGCATTCTTCACTTTCTTCTCAAAATGGTAATGTGAATTGGATAAAGCTTAAACCACTTGGATTATAGCTCAAAAGTTTGTGTAATCTATTAATGATGGATAGATACACAAGGTAGAAGGTCTGCAAAGCAAGATAATGCAGCCTAACATTGAAATCCAATTATGTGTTCATCAAGAAATGACTTGTAATTCAAGAATGAAACCCTAACTTCTTGCCTTCGATTCTCCTTGCTCAAATATAATTTTAATGAGTTCTTGGACATTTTTGAAAGCTTGTAACATTATATACAACATCTATGTTGGAAATTTTTGAAAATTCATATTTGAACTATGTGTAAAATTGCTATGAAGTTAGGTCAAAATCTTGCCTAAAATAGGGCAAACTTTCACTAAGTTTCCAAGTTTCAAGAACATGTCTTCTTAAAATTATAACTTGAAATACATGCATTTCTAGAAGAAGTTGTGTTCTACAATGTTTTAGATCTCATTGAGATCTACAACTTTCATGTTGGAAGTTTCCTTTGAATCATCTTGCATCATGGTGAAAATTTTGCTCAAAGTTATGAAAAATATGAATTTTTCAACACTTAGAAAAATTTCTAAGTTTAGAAATTTTGACTTTATAAAATGAAATCTTAAATTTTTGATTTCTTGATGAATAAGTTTCATATTTTGACATGTTTTGATGAATTGTGATCTTTGACACTTGATTTTGACCAAAAAGTCAAAGTTTGACTTTTCATTGTACAATTGACTTTTCATCAATTGACTGAAATTCAATTGTCAATCAATTGATCTTGAGAGATGTTTTGAACCATGTCATTAGGTCAAAATTATGAATTTGAACCATTGAGATCATAACTTAAACCAATCAACCATTTGCTAGGTCAAAAATAAAAAATTGCACTTCCTCAGTTAAAACCCTAATTTTGACCATTTTGCCCTTTTGATGATCTGATCAAATTTCTTGAGGAATTGTGATCCAAACTTGATCAAATGATATATATGAGTTTATAATGTCGATATGGACCAAAAATCATGAAGTTTGACTGTAAATTGACCATATTTGACTTTTTCCCCAATATAGTTGATTTTAGGTCAACTGATCAATTGACTGAGCAAAAATGTAATCCAAGACTTGAAACTTGACATGAGAAATCTTGAGGGTCCAAAATGATCCATGAAAGTCATATGGGGCATTAAAAGTCTATTTGTCCTTGTGCAAACTCAAACCCTAATTTTCAATCATCAGTGCTTAAAGAGGTGTCTTGAGCTGATCAAACCCTGTGCAGTCTTGAATCCAAAGAGATCTTGTGAGAGATTATTTGAGAAATGAGATGGAAAGTTTTGGGGTACAACACAAGTCTTCTTTATATATCCAAAGAAATATTCGTTGGAGGGTAGAATGAGAATACCAAATTCTAGTTGTATTTTAGCGTAACGGTCATTAAGAGTAGTAGACAACATCGTACCATAGTACAATCCTTGCGCCATAGAATTAGAGTAATGAGATGAATATTTGATCTTGTACTATGTACTATTCACTCTCGTAAAACTTTTTCAATTTTATCCTTTAATCTTTAGAGGCTTCAGAATATGTATTGATGAAGCATACTTAGAAGGATCAAAACCAAAATGAGAGTTTTCAGAACCTTGTCTTCATAGTCTTCAGAACTTGTTCAACAGAACCTTGTCTTCAGAGTCTTCATAACTTGGTCTTCAGAACCCCAGAACTTGAAAGCGCGAAATTTTCAGAGCTTGAGAAGTCTTCAAAAGCTCTTCCATTAGAGTTATAGTCAGAAGCTTTAGACTAACGTTCTTCAGACTCGTTATTTTGAAACAATCCAGAACTTGACAATATCTTGGTAACACATACTTTGGATCTCTATAGAGTTAGAGTGTGTTGATTCTAGAAATTGGCGACGTCACACGCTATTCTAGCAGAGTCAGAATAAGTTAGCAAAATCTACACACTAGACAAAACCATTAGAATACAAAATTATTCTCTAACAAATGATATATTGTTATCATCAAAAATCATTCTTACAAATACTCCTAGTCTTCTTATGTAAGACTCTAACCAAAATCACCAAGAATAATCCTTTTGTGATTTTACACATTTATCTCCAATAATCCTAGAAGATAAGTACATACTTCTACAAGAAGATGCAACCCACCTTCTTATAGATCCCTCCTAATACCTAACAATCCTTGATACTCATGAATTTTTAACATATACAATAGATAGAACATATATGGAGTTTGTTGAATATTTACAACTTATTCAAATGAACAAGATCTTGTTCTATTTCAAATATGAAGATTCAAGAACGAATACTCTCTAAGTACTCAATGATACTTTTTGATATGAAAATATGTTTCAAAAAGTATCCAAGAATGAAAATTCCATTGAAGAAAAATGCAGATAGATTTGATATGTATTTTGAAAGTGGTGGTTGTAAATTGAAATTTTGAAATCAATTTATAATGATGAAACAACCATTCATAGAATCATGGCAATGGTCGAAAGATTTTTTGAAAAAGGTTAATGAATTGTTATGGAAAGATATCATTAAAAGGTTTAGTGAAAATGTGTTATGAACAAAAGCATTTTTTAGAAAATTCCTAGTGACAATAGATTGCACCAAATCATAGTCCATTGTCATATGTATAACGTTAAAAAAAAATTCAAAATCTGCCAGTGACAATCAACTACACAAAATGACAATCCATTGTCATGCCTAGAAAGTGCAATTTTAGGAGTGAAAGAGGCAAAAACAAATTTGTGACAATCCATTGCACAAAAATACAATTGATTGTCATGCCTCATAAATTGAAATTTATCTAAGTATTTGAACTAACCTTATGCAACATGATTTATCTAAGTCAATAGATTATATTTGAAAGTGATTTAACATGGTTCAAATATGACAAAATAACTTTTTCAATGCATGATAAAAAAATATTTTGAGCATCAAGAACTGTATATGATATGAAATTCATATACTTTAGATGATGAACAAAATTTTGTGAACCAAGTCAAATCTTCATAGATCTTTTTCTCCTTCTTTGATAAGGTAGTGTTGAACTTGTCTTCATCGAAACATGTTGGAAGCTTGTCTTCACATTCCTTGTTGGTCTTGTCTATAAAGGATTGATCTATGTCTTCCTTTGTCCTCTTTCGTCTCAGTGTGCTTAGGGAGAATGCTTCGCTTCCTGACTCTAAAATGACGATGTTGTAGTACTCATCGTCTTTCCAAGATGAGTGTTTTGGCGCTTACGATTCATCTCGATTAGTTTCACCTTCTTTTTGAGTCGTTTAATATGGACTTCCATCACACAATATAATATCTCCAATTTATGATTATATCAAATAGGTCAATTGATTGTTCGATCATATATAGAGATAAATTCTTTATAGAGTGACTGAAATATGATACGCTTCACGTAGTTGTTTCTTCCATTGATACGATCTATGAGATCATTAATAAATAAGTATAAGTTTATTGATATAATTGATTTCAAAAATAAATAACACTTGTATAGTTTAAACACGCTTCATATAACTCCAACCATATGAACACGTTCGTATTTTTAGAGACTAAACATCGTCTCAACTTTTTCTCTTTTGTATTTCTTCTTTGAAAATATAAATTCTCCGATTAAATCTGAATAATAGACATATTTATTATTGAAAATAAATAAATAAGCTACTTTAATAATGTGACATTATCAATACAAGTTTAAATATTAATACTAATTGTACCATTGAAGACGGTGTTATGAGCACCACACCATATGAGAGCTTGGAACAAATCAATCTATGTGTTCCGAGAAGTAGCTCTCTTTCGCTTTCAATCTCGTTATGCTCAATATTAGAGATTGCAATTTTTAATTATTTATATCATCGCAAAAAATAAATGATTCAAGTAAGTACTACAGGTACATTGTTATAATCCACCACACCAAACTTTAGCAGATACAAACAACTATTCAGAGTTAAAGTGTCTCTTTTCATATGGATTGTGAGGATGTCTATACCTAATATACCTTTCTTTATATTTTCATATGCAATGGAAGGTTATATAAATACTCCCTCATTTCTAATTTATAACTAAATAATGAAGATTATAATTAAGCCTAAATGTTAGTATTAATATTAAAATTAAAATATAGACTTTTATTACCGAAGAATAACTTTTAGTAACATCTAATTATTCATATATATATATATGTCAAAAAATGTAATAAATTCTTAGAAAGAAGTTTAAAATAAAGGATATATATGAGAGTAATTTTGCGTATAATTTACTACTAACATCAATCGAGTTGCCACTACTGATGAACTATCATGTTCTGAAGAAACCGTGACACCTCTTTCTCTCTCTTTCCCTATCTTTCCACTTTCAATGCACCCATTTCATCACCATTAGTAACCAAAAAACCCCAAAACGGAAAACCCATACCAAAATGCGGTTTTCCATCCCGACGCTACTCTTTTCGTCGCTAATATGCTGCTTACTCAGCTTCCCGGTATCCGCCGTATACAGCACCGGTTACCTCCCTCTACAGCGCGCTGTTCCGCTTAGCCACCGCGTTGAGATACACACAATCAAAGCTCGCGACAGACTTCGTCATAATCGATTCTTCCGAGATGGCGGTGGTGTTGTCGACTTCACAGTTCAAGGCTCCTCCGATCCTTTTACCCGTGGGTATGGGTAATCAATCCTCTCTCTAGTATAGCTTATAGATTACACCTTAACTTATATTCAAACTTTTTTATTTTTTCGTGAGAGAAATAGTTTTTGTATATAACTACTTTTCTATAAGCACTTATTTAAGTTGTTTATTTATAATTTTGGTTTTTTTGTTCAGGCTGTATACTACTAAAGTAAAGATGGGAAATCCACCTAAGGAATTTAATGTTCAGATTGATACTGGAAGTGACATTTTGTGGGTTAATTGTAATACTTGCAGTAATTGTCCTAAATCTAGTGGAATTGGGGTTAGTATTTTCACTTTTCATCATCACCGTGTTTTTTTTTACTATTACTTATGGTGTTATGTGGTTCTTCTGATTTGGAGGTTAATGCTTTGATGTTATTTTGTTTCTTGTGTTGTGTAATGTATAGATTGAGCTCAATTTCTTTGATACTGTTGCTTCATCCACGGCTGCGATGGTTCGTTGCTCGGACCCTGTATGCACTTACGGTGTTCAAGGTGCTGCTGCTCAATGCTCCCCTCAGGTTAATCAGTGTGGCTACACGTTTCAGTATGAAGATGGGAGTGGTACCTCGGGTGTTTATGTTTCTGATGCTTTTTACTTTGACATGATCCTTGGACAGTCTACTTCTGACAATGTTAACTCTTCAGCTGCCATTGTTTTCGGGTGAGAAACTGTTGTGCTTATTTTTTGTGGACAATTATAATGGCACGTGATACAGAACCGGGCTTAGATGTAGGAATGAGTGCTAGGCACAAGGTGTGGAGAGTCTTAACAAGGAAGGGTAAGAAAGTTGAAGTGAATGCTGACGTGGCATTACATGTAACAGAATGAATGGAAGAAAGGGGATTATGCATTATACAAGGAATTGGGGGGGGGTGAGGGGAGGGACTACCCTGAAGTTGTTAGGCAGAGAGCTCTAGATGCCAATTTGCATCTATCAGTGGCGATCCCCTTATGTGCAACCGTTGTGCCTATTAAACTCAGAAGGATTCAGAACATATAGAAATTAGACCTGGATCTACATGTCAATAAGATAGCCTGTCCTTGTAGAGGGAACTACAAGACACGCTTGGGTTGGTAGGACTGAACGTCAGAGAGAATGCTGGCAGAGTGGAGTGTTTTTTTGTTCCTTCTTTTTTTTGGTAAACAGTGGGATTTGCTTATCTTTTCTGTCAGTTTTTGCATATATTCCAATGCTATTTGTTAACACTAGTACTTAATATGGATTTTGGTTTAAAATAAAACTTTATTTGATGATTGTTTTGGCAATAGTTGTAGCATTTCTCAGTCTTTTTGTTAACACTAGTACTTAATATGGATTTTGCTTTAAAATAAAAAATTTTATTTGATGGTTGCTTTGGCAATAGGTGTAGCACCTCTCAGTCTGGAGATTTGACCAAGACGGATAAAGCAGTTGATGGAATTTTTGGGTTTGGCCCCGGTGATCTATCTGTTGTATCACAATTGTCATCACGAGGAATAACACCCAAAGTTTTCTCTCATTGCTTGAAAGGAGATGGCAATGGAGGAGGCATTCTAGTTCTTGGTGAGATTTTGGAGCCAAGTATTGTTTATAGTCCACTTGTCCCATCACAGTATGTTCTCTTCTGTACTGCTTTTTTCATTTTCTTTCCCCAGTTGGTCCATCACTTTTCCCTGATATCACACAATATTGATATAAAGGAACATACAAGTTACATCACATACCACACCCTTGGTGGTTATGATTGAATGAGTTTTTTGATTGAATGTTAATGGTGATATTGCTAAGAATCAGGTTCTGAAAATGCTACTTATGCTGTTTTTGTTCTTGTCCGATAATTCACACTTCTATATGATATTCTTGCAGTACACTAAACTGGTCTTTTCCTTTTTAATTAAATCCCAGGCCTCATTACAACTTAAATCTTCTGAGCATTGCTGTCAACGGGCAACTTCTCTCAATTAATCCAGATGTATTCACAACGTCTGACAACCGAGGAACTATAGTTGACTGTGGTACAACATTGGCATATCTTGTTCAAGAAGCTTATGATCCTCTTGTCAATGCAGTAAGTTTTCTTTGTACATCGCCCAAATCTTTGAAACATTAAACTATGTTGGCCATACTATCCTCTCTTCCCTTTCTATGATGATGAATTCTGCATTGCAAGTAACTAATGATGATACTTTCTTACTCTTTGGTCTGCATGTCTTGTATTTTTTTCTGTTTACTGAAATCATTGATTGGCATTTCTCCATTGAGTTCATTTGGGTTCTCACGTTCCTGTCTTGTTTGACTGGTATGAAGTTTTATTTATGTGGATATAGATCAGTTTGAACCATTCATCCATCTATTAGATACATGTTTTTTGTTTAAATTAAAATCTGGAAATGCTTTAACGGCGACTTGTATGCCTTAAGATGCTTCAACAACAGAACGTCATATTGAAATTTACATCCTTTTTTATTTTTATGTATATGATTCTTGTTTTTAAAATTTTCAAAGGGAGTTTTGTAGAAAGGTTAACAAATTTTCCTTTTGCTTATTTCTCTTTTATTTTATGAATGATATCGACCTTAGTGTATATTGATCTTGAGTTTCCAAATGGATGTATAGGTAAATACTGCTGTGTCACGTTTTGCTACTCCCTTTATTTCGAAAGGAAGCCAGTGTTATCTGGTCTTAGCCAGGTAATTATAAATACAATATTTGTTACGAATATCTTTATATACTTCATATGAAAAGCAAGTCTGTCCCGTTAGGATTGTTGAATATGTCATTAAAATTTGTGTTTGTTACATATTCAGTATAGATGCTTATTTTCCTCCAGTCAGTTTAAACTTTGCGGGTGGAGCATCGATGGATTTAAAACCATCACAGTACCTTCTGCATAATGGTTATCAGGTAAACATGTCTGTCGCACATCTGGTTATATTCTTATTTCTTAGATATAAGAAAGTTGTTCTTAAGAATTGTATATGCCACTTATGGTACTAATTTGCTTTAACAGGATGGTGCTGCAATGTGGTGCATAGGTTTCCAAAAAGTGCAAGAGGGAGTCACAATTTTAGGAGGTTAGTTGATTGGGCAAATTTAAGCAGACTTAACTCTGCAAAGAATTGGTAAAAAATAGAATTCTATCGTTTGATTATAAAATAGTCACCTTTATCATCGACGCTGTTTCTTCTTTTGCAGATCTTGTCCTGAAAGACAAGATCGTTGTTTACGACTTGGCTCGTCAGCAAATAGGATGGACTAACTATGACTGTAAGTTCACCACAGTAACTGTTATCTCTTGCAAAAAAGTATATTCGGTTTTTCACGCTATCTTAAGATTATATTTGCTGCCAGGTTCCACGTCTGTAAATGTCTCGGTGACTACAACCAAGGATGAGTACATCAATGCAAGAGCAAGACAGACTAGTGTCTGCAGCTCAAAAATAGGGACTCTCTCCAAGTTACTACCATTAAGCATTATGGCTATTTCTATACACATAATAATCTTCATGAAGTCACCACATTTATAATTTAAACTCAAGTTCAAAAGCTCATTCCTTGTTTCTAACACTGAGAGACCTACTTGAGTTGGCAACCCTTCCCGTTTTTTGATCGGGAGTGGTAGATGTGTTTAATCTATGTTATAAAAAATGGGGTATCCTCCCTTTATACAATGAAAATGAGGATCTTGTTGTAAAGAGAGAACTGGAAGCAATGTACATTAGTGTATCTCTACTGGTTCAAATTGTAATATTTATATATGGCTCTGTGGTCTTCAGCTCTCACTCTTAGATAGGTGTATAGGATTGGATTCATGAATGGTGCTCATATAATTTTATGATATTTAGTTCAATATACTTAATTAAAGGTTTTATTCACATTTATCTTTCCCATGAAATTGCAACCTTGTCTGAATTGTCCATACTTTTTTTGAATGGTAAAGTAAATATATATTTTATAGGAGAAAAAGTATTACACTCAACAATCCGCCATAACCCCGAACCAAAGTCTAATTACCGGCACAATTTAATTGCTAATTAAATTAGATTTTTATTAATAATTAAATTTTAAATTTAATTATTAATAAAGATTGTAATTTGATTAGTAATTAACTTTGTTTTAGATATTGGTTTTTTCATTTTTATTTTCAATAGAATCAAGTATTTTTGTTTATTTCAACATTTAGAATAAAATAGTTTATTTTTTCCAAGTCACTACAAAATTAAAAAAAAACTATTGAAGTTGCTATTTCTTGTTGTTTTTTACATTTTAATTGGAAATCACATTTTTATTAATTATTTGTTTTATACGCTCTCTTTTATTGATGCAAATAGAATAAGGTTTTAAACATAAATTGTTGCTTCTTTTGTTTTAATAGAAAAAATATAAAAAGATTTTGTTTTTATTCATAAAAGTACATTTGTTTACATTAAAAAAATGAAAAGAACAAAAATACTGTCAATACATTGCATTTACGGTTACTCTAGTGATTAAAAAAAAGCAAAAAAAAAAAAAAAATCCTTCCAGCATCACGTTTTCTTCGAGCATCATCTTTCACGTATTGAGTACACCATACACCGTACGTACATCACACAATTAACTTCACAATTTCAACCCTCATATGTATCATTCCCATCACAATACAATACCTGTAAAATACAATGGGGAAAGAGTCAGTTAACAATTATACATCATACATACACACCAAAGCATACTCATGTTACATACAAAACTCACAAGTTTCATGCCCCAATTAATTCACAATTTTCTCACAAAACTGATTCAAAATAAACTCAAAAGCTCACAAGATGTTTCAATCTCAGCCCCTCTTTCTCCATTAATCAACAACTTACGATTCTTTTAAGAAAGTCACGCGGATTCCTCCTTATTATCATACCTTAATTTTTATCCCTAAGATCCTATCTATCATTACCAATGCATCTCATCATAATCACAAATTTGATAACCTCCTAACTCTTTGGTCTTTGGATTTGTTGTGTGGGAGATCACCAAACACCCTTTGTATTTTCTTTTATCCTAGTGTTTATTTACTTTTATGTTTTACTAATCCTATTCAAAATAAAAAAAATATGTTTTGTTTCCTTTTCTTATTTTGAAGGGTAGATTTTTTTCATCAAAAGATCAAGATGGTTTCCAAATTAGAGTTTTGATCTCTCAAGTTAAAGATTGCTCAACAATTGATTCTCAAGAGCTTCAACTTCAAGGCACGAGCTATACTCTTAGGTCACATTCATGTCAAACTTTATTCAATACCAATTGATCAAAAGTAGGTTCATGATTAATCAAAGATCTATCAAGGGTACATCCTTTGAAGTTCATATGATCATCATTGTGCCTTGAAATGCAAGTAAACATAAAGCATGTCAAGTTGGAACCATGTTGATTTGACCTAAAACTCAAGAATAGCATGTCTTTGGTCCAAACACCATAACTTCTTCATTTTTCATAATTTATGGGTGTTTCTTTTTGGAAAGTGTCAAGGATGATGTCCTCTACAACTTTGATTCAGGAGTCAAAAGTCAATTATGTCTCTAAAGACCTCAAATTTTATATTGGATTCAAGGCCACATGTAACACCCCAAAATAATTAGATTATTCATTTAATTATTTAATTGATTTATGTTGAGTATTTGTGACGTATTTGTGAAATATATGTGATGTTGTGATGAACATGATGATTGATATGATGTTTTGTGTGGTGTATGATGGGGTAGTGAGAATTAAGATGATATTGAGTATTTTTAGGATAATTTGGATAATTAGAATAATTAGTTGAAATTATTTTAATTAATTAAATAGAATAACAATAAGAGGTAGAGACTATGAGGACAAAGTGATAATATTGTGATGTAAGTGAGGGTAAGATGAGAATACCATAAAAAGAGTCCAAGGGTTAAACAAGGAATAAAAGGAAACGTGTCTCATTTTGTGCGATCGTGGATGTAAGAGGAACGTTGTGGAGAGAGTTAGGGCACAGAGGAACTCAGAGGGATTTTATAGAACGCGGAGAGGAATCAATTGCTAGGAAGAATCTAAGGTAAGAGGAGTTTATCGTTGTTATTATAATAGATCTAATGTTTAAATAATTATAGATTTGTGTTAGGGTTTTGTGATGATGATGTAAATTTGATGATTTGATGAAAATTGATGAATTTGTGAGATTATTTTCCAATAAATTGAGGCAAATGATGCATGATAAATTATGTTGGTATTGTATGATGAAACTATATGAAACTATGATGAATTGAGACCTGTAATGTAAAAAAATCGTGAAAAAATTGAACTGGTGTAATGCAGAGATCGCAACAGGGAATTCCTGTTCGCGCTGGCTCGTCGGGCGAGCATGATGCATCGGCGAGCGAAGGAAGTTTGCCCTTGACGCGCTGGGAAGAGTGAGGTGAAAGGAAGGGGTGAAAACTAGAGCCCCTGAAATTTTGTATGAGAGAAGAGGACTCGCTCTAACTTCGACAGGCGAAACAAATGCGACCTAAGCTCGCCGGGCGAGCTAACAGCCTCGCCGAATGAAGGAGACAAGAGGGAAATGCATGCTTTTGGATTTTGTATGGGGGAAACTGATTCGCCCCGCCCTTAGCGGGTGATCCTCAGGCGAGCAACCTACTTTGTCGGGCGAGCCTTAGGCGAGTGGTGTCTGGCTGAACTTTAGCAGGCCGTAACTTAAGTTTTAGGACTCCGTTTGACACATCGTCCGAAGTATTAGAAAGCTAACATGATGCATTATACTATGGTGGAACAAAATGATTCATATGATGTGTTTTACAGTGACTATGTTTTGATGAATATGATGATTTATTGATTGTTCTATTATGATGTATGTGTATATGATAAAATGTTGTTGCTATGATGATGACGTGTGTAATATGAAACATGTGATGATATTATGATGATTATATGAATGATGATTCATCTTGACTAGCAGTGGCTATATTGTTATTGATATGTTTTGCATCATGCATTCACGGATACGTTAGGGCATAACCCAATGATGGTTGCATGACATTGTTCCAATGAAGTTTGTAAGACGAGTGGTCCAGTGATGGCCTCAATCCCATAGTGTGGATTGAGTGCAATTTTATGACGTGCTCTAGTTTCAAGCGAGAATCAATCCTATTGATGGGGATCTTTGGAGAAATGATGATTGTGTAATCAATGCAGTTTTGGTACCACGTGTATGAGTCTAATGAAGTTGCATTACATTCTTTGTGATATTGCATAATGATTGATTAAGTGATGCTTTGTGAATATGTGAACTAATGATGTTTTTGATGATGATTGTTGACTGATGATATGATGATGCTATGAATAAATAATGAACTGAAGGTGTGGGTATAACATGAAGTTTTGATGGTGTAGGGTGTCTTGCTATTGTGCTATGACTACTATATTTATTCCTTATGTCTTTTATAATGACTATAATTACTCACCCCTTTCTGCTTGAAAATGTTACCTTTATACGTGAGTAACTTACAGGTGATCATGATTAGTGAATTAAAGCTTAGAGGATTAGCTTCAGAGTGCGTCAATTATTTTGTTGAATAAAAGGGTCTTTCTCTGATATGTAACATCAGAGTTGGGAACGTTTATTTTGAAACTATTATGTTCTCTTGCTTATTTTGAGATGATGGGTTACCTTTCATGGTATCTATTTGTTGACTTATGAATTATAAACGATGGAGTATTTTAATAAAGATGTTTTGAGACTAGGATTCCACTGCGATAATCTAAATTTTGATGTGTGGAGGATATCAAAGGAATAGTTGTTTTAGATGTTTTCAAAGCCCGTGTTACAAAACAGGATGCGTTTATATGATGCTTTTATGAAGATGTGACACCCTTGTTGGTGATTTTATTTTGATTTAATTTCATAAAATATATGCGAATTATATATGAATTTAGAAGGGTGTTACATTAGTGGTATCAGAGCAGGTTGGTCCGTCCGACCAGGTTTTTTTAATGAAATATGTGTCTTGTCAGTCGATTAGTGTGAGTACACTATCCATGCACTATTTTTTGACATTGTTTTTCTTTGTGTAAAATGGCGGGAAGAAACAATGTTGTGATTGTTGTTGCTTTGCAGGCTGTGGCTCAGGCTGTGCAACATCAGTCTAATGCTAGTGAGAATGACAGGTCCCGTGTCTTGGAGACGTTTCAAAGGAACCATCTGCCTACTTTCAAGGGTCGGTACAATCCTGATGGAGCGTAGACTTGGCTTAAGGAGATTGAATGTATCTTCCGAGTCATGGATTGTACAGAGGCACACAAGGTGCATTTTGGTACGCATATGCTGACAAAAGAAGCCGATGATTGGTGGATTGACACCCGTCAGAGATTCGCCTTATATGATTGAGGTGATACAAGGCGAATGACTTAACAACTTTCTGAAGATATTTTCGAAGCGGGTTCGATAGATATTTAAAATAGGGCTATAATTGATTTTGGCGCCTATTAGATCTTTGGAAAAGGATACGTGGAAGCATTCGAAAGGCGAGAG